GAAAAGTTACCAGCTTCGCGTTGACACCGCAGTTAGGCGGGAGATTCAAAATTTACAAATTAAAACTTTACTTTAGCTGTCGTTGTTTCACAACAGTTATCGGAATCCTCTCCCACACAAGTTGCTTCACAGTGACACAACGTGGTGCAACCTTCTATTCATTCAAATTGTCATAAATAAGAGAGGGATTTAAGAGCTTATAAAAGCTATCTTAATTGTAGTTTGCGGTCGAACTCGTGTTCATGTATTTTTAACGAGGTAAACATAGAGCACCAATATATTCTCATTTTTTTTTATTCTTTTAAATATTTCTCTAAAAAGTAGAAAGCTGACAAAACTGAACCAAGTACATAGACAGGACATAGGTGGATCTCGACTTGGTCGAACAGCCATAAGTAGTAGACAGACCAAAGAATCTGACTTAGTAAAATGCTGCCCATAATGTTAATTGTACTGAGCTTACCAAAATAGAGAAAAACTTATGCTTTCCTCTCTTAACAATTATTTACAAATATCACAAAGAAACAATCATTAGATACACTTTTCACAAAAAAAGAAAGAGCACTGTGTGTTTTCCATTTGAAATTGAACCTGTACAATAAATTTTAAAATAACATAAAAATAAAACAAAAAGAAATTCCTTGATTGGTGTTGTTACTCACCACTTGTAAAACAATTTTGGGACAAGTATCTGGCACAGTTTAACAAATAAAAACATTTCTTTGCAGAGAAAATCAAACCCATGAAAACAGTTCATCTCAATAGATATTTGCAATCCTGCCAAACTGTAATTCTAAGTTCACAATTTCGGATCACAAGAGATAAAGTGGCAAATCAGATGAGTTTTCAAATAGCTTTTTTAAATAAGGCAAAATCTAACTGTTGTAAACTGATAAAAATTTTAAAGAAAATGGTTTAATGTTACAACATGTTTTCCATATTATTCTTATTCCATTGTGTTTGTGAAGGTATATCATTGACATTTGGTAGCAGTTCCGATGATGACCAGCAAAAATACTTCCGTACATATTTTTAAAAAATGATGTCAGCAATGATATAATTACAATTACAGTACTAGAGAAACATACTAAACATCAACAAATCATGAGTCAGAATCTTCAGTATAATGTAGAGGTGCTGACAGTCGTTTCTTTGGACTTGTAGAATTTAAATCATCAGAATCAGAATTTGATGGAGATCTTCGTTTTTTCTTAAATCTTTTAGAATGTGATTCCGGCGATCTAGATCTCTCACATTTTTTATCATTTTTTTGACTTTGAGAAGAACTAGAACTCTTGCTTCTTTTAGAGTGCTTCTTCCTGTGGCTATGGGATGATTCTGAATCATGTCTTTCATGCTGAGATGGACTACGCTGTTTATGGTTGGGAGATAATCTGCTTGAATAATGCTTCTCTTTTCTGCTACGGCTATGAGTTCTACAATTTTCAGGACTTTCACGTGTTTTATTTACTTTCCATGTATCCTGACCATTATCAGCAATCGTCCTTGTCATATTAATAACATTCCGTAATTTGGGATGAGAAGAACAAACTGGAGATATAACTTCCTCTTCAGAATCAGAATTAAGGTGAGAACTGTTGCTCTTCTTAACAATTGCTGAGCGAATAAAAGTTCGAGGTGGCCCGTCACTCTCTGTATCACTTTCGGTATAAAGTATGCTTCTTGAGGTTGATGCACTTTTGCTGGAGAGCTTCATGCTTCTGTTAAATGATGGCTTACTGTCTTTTCTATGGCTTCGTTTAGAATGTCCTTTAGAGGTTGAGGGTTGACTATTGTCTTCACTATCACTGCTAACTTGATTTCTAGTTCTGTGAAGTTTGATCTTTGAATGTCTCTTTTTCTCACTTTTAACCCCCCTTTTGGAATGCTTACGTTTCCTCTTCTTCTCAGTATTTGAGTTTGATGAGTCAAAAGACTCTGTAGAGCTTACAGGTTCCAAATAGTTAACATTCTCTTTCTGAAAGTAAATAAGTTTTGGGGTAAGCAAAACAAAACTATTAAACAACTAATCGATAGAAAATAAAAGGGGCAGACTTACAGATCGCTTGTTATGAATTTGAGGTATAATTGTTAAAGCTTCTTCATCAGAAGATTCTTCCTGCAATAAAAATCGATTTGTAAGGAAATGTGTAAAAATTTAATAGAGCCAACAAAATAAAACCAAATAATATCTTACACTATCTTGCCACCGGAGTTCGGTTGTGGAAGTATTACCCAGGTTAATACATATCAAGTCATTTGGTGAATCTCGTGGACCATAGGCCCGAGCAGTTGCAGACTGTGGAGAATTGCCAGGATGCTCGGGGGATGACAGGGTAATTAATTCTGGTGTTCTCTCATGACGAGGTTTTACATATCCTACAATTTGAACATCTTCAGCAATATCACTATCACTATCAGATAGCACAGTAACCTAAAAAGAATAAAATTATTAAATCTATTGTTTTTTTTTTCTTGGTATGAGGAGGAAAAGAATGCACAAAAAAATGCACAGAATGCATACCACAGATGAATTCCGGTGAGAAGAAGTATGAGAAGCACTAGAACCACTGGAACTCGAAGTTGAGGCACCAGCTGACGCTGATGCAGAAACTGATGTGTTCCTGGCCCTAGAAGAAGCAGGTGGGTTGCGAGCATGTGCCATCTGCTCACGATTGGGTTCAATTATCTGAAATAGAATAATTGAAGTTATGATTGTGTCAGGTAGTTTTGATTTTCATAGAAATGAAATAAACAATTTACCTGAATATCGTCATCATCAGAGTCAACATGGGAGTCAGATGTCTCATCTTCAATTTCGATGGAGTAGCCTGCTCCACCATTAGGAAGATACTGAACATGGCGGTCATATCCAACCTGTAAGAAGTATAGAATTTAGGATGCCTCAAGCTTTTATGAAATGATCCTCAACAGCAAAGGGAATTTCCTTGCATACCAAATCATAGACAGAGATAGCAAAGGCCCGTAGCTCATGACAAAAATGAAGGGCATGTTGGTTTCCTATAAGCTGGGCAACTCTGGTGCGGAAATCATTGGATGAAATTGGAATTAAAGGAAGAAGCTCCAAAATTTTATCCATAACATACATAGTTCTTGAGCCATTGTCTAATAAAACATTTAATTCTCTGTTTAAGAATGGCATTAGTCGATGAATTTGTGCAGGATTTTGGCTGAAAGAAGCAAGATGAAAGGAAGATAGAGGTATTTTAGAGGAATTAAAACATGTCACACTAATTAAAAAATTTCCAAAGGGGTGCTCACGCATAAAACTCCGGAGAGCATTCTCTGTATCTGCCAGAAACGTCATGTTGTATCCTAGCCCACAAATCTCTGTCATATATTGAACGTCGGAATGCTGATGTTCCATTAGGGTTTCCTCTGGGCGCTGCTCTAGCAGGAGGACCACTTGGGATTGCATCAGGAAGAAAAACACCATTAAAGCTCTCTGTCATACGAAAGTTGCGAGCATTTAAACCACGAAGAGCCATCCATTCTGAAAATGCTCTGTATTGATGTTGTGTTCTACAAAAGAAAACAAATATTGTATGTTATGAAACCTTTTACAATGAATCAGATAGTATATATAACTTTAAACCAGAATACCAGGCAATAGCAATAGCAAAAATGACTTTCTAACTCACCTTGCATACAGGACCACTGATGAGTCAGCTGGTGCACGTTGAGGTGGCTGCCTGACAACATGGTATTGATCATAGTCATCCTGACTCCTAACATTGTGAATGATAGAATCAAACGCAACTTTGCATAGGGGGCACTCTGCTTTCACCTGAAAATTGCATAAAATGATATGAAATGAAGTGAACAATAGTATCAAACTAGGCCATATGAAATGTATTTACCAACCTTGGACCATTCAAGTAAACAAACAAAACAGAATTGGTGACAACAGCTATTGGTAAATGATTTATTGGCTAAAGGACCAAGGCATATAGCACAATTTTCTGGAGAAGATGGGCGGTTTGGGGTAGGACTGCGTTCCTTGCGATTAGGTGAGTTGTTCCATTTTGAGGGACTGGATTTGGAACTGCCGGCGCGGGGAGGCGTATCTGGGCATTTAGAAAGAGGTGGAGTTGCTGGACAAGTTGGTTCCTCCATCTGGAAAAAGCAATAATTAATAGACATTTCCCCAAAAATAGTATAGGTAAGAGTAGACTGTTAGCCCTGAGATGTGCCAATTATTTGATACAGTATTTATAGATGCACTTCAGACACAAGAGAAAATATTAGAGAAATACAGAATACAGCTATGAATTACGAAAACCGTCTGAGGTAATGATACCTTTGACGGTTATAGGCAGGCCGAACCAAGTAAACCCACTGGGTTATTTTAAAGGGGTTAAGAAATTTCGTCAAGGGAGTCGAACATATAAGTAACATACCATTAAACCTCATTGAAGAGTGTAGGAAATTGTTGAAATTTGTATGGATAATATCCTGACGGCTTACAACTTTTCAAGTAGAAAAGACACACAACTTCACTTCAGTGCAAACTGGTGCAAAGTTTCAGCATCAGAAATGGACGTGTGACGCCTTCCAGGAATAGGATGTTGATGTTGTTTGTTGCCGACTTTCGTCCTTTTCTTCTTCTTTAGTAGCTGCTTTACATTGAATCAAGAAAGCGGTGCTCGACGATTTCTGTCATCGGGCTGGCTGTGGTGTAATTTGGGCAGTTCGGGCCAAACTATGTGACTTGCGTCTGCCGCATATCTCAAATCTGAAGCCTGTTAATTGTATGGGACATTCATTGGCGTGTGAAATACGTCTCTATGCCCGAATTTTGAGGTAGAACGGATTCGCCACTGATTTTCTTCGTTTGAGGTGCACAAATGACGGAATACAAACTTGTTGTTGTGGGAGGTAAGTAAACCTGACACGCCCCTGGACTTCAGTGTTAGAACAATGGAAACATTTGTACATTTGTACTTTTTAAAATATTATAATAGGAATCAGAAGAAAATGAGTAAATTTTGCCCAAAGCTTTGGAATGTATTCCATTGTTGAATCCTCGTATCTTACCTAGGCTTGTTATACATTAGTACGGTCTGTGGCCATCTAGAATGCGTATACTCGCCGCTGAGGAGGCCCGTGAATATTATCTTCCTCGAGTTGTTCATATTCACAAGTATTCAGCTTAAAGCTTACCTTGCTCTGGTTTTTGTATTTCTCGGTACTCGAATTTTTTATTTGTTTTCGTGTGGAAGCTGTCATCATAACTCACCTGTTGCTAACCTGAACTTAGCACCTGTTGAGGACACAGATAACTCCTATTTTTTTTCGTTTCTTGTTTATCTAGGTAGACATGTCCATGAATGATTTGGTACATTTACTTTATATTTACATGCCATACTTTTGGGGAATTTCTCATTTGTTCCCTACCCAGAGATAAATTTGTCAACCTACCTTCGTAACTATCTTAGTTCGGAAACAGATTAGTAATTTTTGCATTATTTTACAGCGGGTGGTGTGGGCAAAAGTGCTCTTACCATTCAACTTATCCAGAATCAGTAAGTAGTCTCTTTACTGGCTTAAATCTGGTTATCTCTTTGAATTGAATTATTTATTGTTTTCTTTCAGTTTTGTCGATGAATATGATCCAACAATTGGTATGTTTTGTTCTTAAAAACTTTTTTAGTGTACACTCCTGGCCCTTGCTTATATTTCTCTTTAAAACTTCCTATGTTATCATTTTCAGAGGACTCGTACCGCAAACAGGTAGTAATTGATGGAGAAACATGCCTTCTTGACATTTTAGACACGGCAGGACAAGAAGAATACAGGTAGCTACTACTGACTGATGTATATTATATTTTAATTATTTGGATTTTAGTCATGAAACTTTTTGTTATCAAATTTAGTGCCATGCGAGACCAATACATGCGGACAGGGGAGGGATTTCTACTAGTATTTGCTGTCAATAATGCAAAATCTTTTGAAGACATTAGCATGTACCGAGAACAAATTAAAAGAGTGAAAGATGCTGAGGAGGTTCCCATGGTTTGTAAGTATTTTTCACCCTCATAGTGTGTGCTCACATTTACCCGAAATTTATTTGACCGTTCTGATTCTAGTGGTGGGCAACAAATGTGACTTACCAGCTAGAGCAGTAGAAATCCAACAAGCCCAGGAAGTAGCAAAGCAATATGGCATACCATTTGTGGAAACATCTGCTAAAACTAGACAAGGTGTAGATGATGCCTTCTACACGCTGGTGAGGGAGATCAGGAAAGATGTGAGTACTCCCATTATTTTCCTTTGTCATCAAATATCTTAAATCTTCTCCTGCTTATTTTGTAAAATTTTCTTTTTTAACAATTTAGAAAGCACGTGGTAAGACCAAACCAGGTAAGAGGCCTAAATTTCCCCTTGGGCCTATAAAGAGGAAACATTGTACTTTGTTGTAAATTCTCCATTGTCATCCATTTTGCCACTGCCATGCAATCTTAGCAGTTTTGTCTACGGTATTTATCTATTTGGCAATATTTTCAAATTTCTGTATACTTTAGGTACACTAAGTCTGTGGTTGGTTACCTGGAAGATGTAAAATTTACCAATTTTGCTGTGTTCTATGGGGGTAGGATCAGAGCTTCTCCATTAGAGATTAGAGTACCTATTGACCAAGGATACCTTGTAGTTTTTACTTGTGAGTGCTGACCTACAAAGAACAATCTGATATTTCCTGAGAGTTGCCAATTTTATCTAAACTGCTTCAACTAAAGCCGAAGTGGTTATACTGTACTTCTGTGATGCAGCTTTTCAACAAGCCTTGTGAAGACCAATTTGTCAGCTCAAGCTTATACTTCCATTGTCATAAATTCATTTATGGGTGTTGTGGAAATTTGAGACTGCTCTGTGGCTCTTTGGCAGGGTATGGAAAAATCTTGTGTTTTTATGAATAATTTTTTGTGCTTTGGGTAGCACTTTTTTTTTAAGTTGACATTTTAACAAGTAGTTAATCTGAAGGAAGTTTATTTCCTGAAGCTGTGAACTGTTTTCTTGTTCATGAATTTGACTCTAATATTTGCCTAATTTGGTGAATATAATAGTATGGTTGGGGGATTTCAAATTACTTTTCTTTTCTTATCTCTTGGGAATTTGCTGGACTGAAAACTATTTGTAAAAGAGTTAAACAATCCCCACCTGTATTTCTTATTGACTGACTAGTGGAAGCATAGGGAAAAAAAAAACAACAACTCCTATCTGGAGGTATGCAACCCTTAGCCTACTTCTCCAATCATTTTTAGTGATAATCATGCAGATAAATTCATTTTTGTTAGTTTCCATTGAACTAATATCTTAAAATGTATTTGCATCAGTTAGTGGGTTGAAGGGTATTCCTCATGTTCTTTCTAGTCAGGATTTATGTGGGTGTTGAGGTTGATTTCAGTATTGCCTCAGACATTAGACCAGTTTGTGACTTAATATATGTGAAGTCCTTGTCTAAAGTAGCTTCTAGCCATGTGGAAAGTTAACTTCATTGAATGTACAAACAAACATCTACTATGACAAAACTACTTTTGTCACTTGTTTGGATATTGTAAACAGTCACTGAAGTTTTGGGCGTTCCGTACTTGAATTTTTTTTCACCATGTAGGAAAACGTTTTAATAATTTTAAATAAGGGTTTGCTTATTGCGAAAGTCATCCTTTAACAATCTTTTCTACTGTGAGGAATGTCCTTCAATGTTGGCTATCGACTCTCTTTGTTTATGTCCATAAAACTTTATTGAAATATCCAGAGCAGATATGATATAATACTTAGTTACTGTAGAGTAATGCTAGTTTTTATTTTTAGTTCTGAATTTAATTAATTTGCTGTCAGAATTGTTGATTAGATCCTAAAAACCACTGTGTAAGATTCAAATTTTACCTTTGTTTAGAAGTTTTGTTTGTATGTTACTATTCTTGTGAAATCATATTATTAAAAGACAAATCATCATGGGTGCTTTGTGATTCAAGCATAACTACTTACTGTATATTAGTGCAGAAATCTTTGTATGCATTTCTCATTGTGATAAATTAAACACCCATCTTTTTAATATTAACATAAACATGGATGTGCACACTTTCAAAAAGGACAACTTTTTTTTCATTTGGTTTATTTTTATGCAACTGTTATTGTGAAATGACCATACCATTTACATTATCATCTCCAAACTTGTCTGTGTATCACATTGTCGACTGCCCAGATATATGATTAGTAAAGTCATGTGCATCTATTTTCTTTTCTTTTTTTCCCCTCTTTTAATTTAGATTTTTAAGGATGAAGTGTTGTGATCAGTTCATTTGTTGTTCTAGCAATAATCATTTGTGAGGTTCTGTGAGTGTTTGTTGGCTTGTGTGTATGTGTTTGGTTGTGTAAAATTGTCTGTACGCAAGGTTTATATTCGTTTTGAAGCTTTGTTAAGATTTGGGAAAGCTTTATGTAGCAAGGCAGTTCTTGTTACCATGGTCTATTTTTAAATTCTAGTTCAATATTAGTAGTTGTAATTAAATATGCTTGTTATAACAACGATGCACAAAATTTGACATGAGCACTTCAGGAGAGATTATCTGCAGTACCTGTATTCTGAGAGCTTTTGATATCTATGAAATGGTCTTATTTAAAATGTTTGGATTCCAGAAACGTATTTCATGTTTCAAATTTGTTTCTTACTAAAAATTTAAAATTCAAGTGGCCTTTCCATATTTATTGAATAATTTCCATGTGCATCTCAATTTTAGACTGTTATTGCTGGGGAGGTAGTGTAGAGTATAAGAGACTGGTGTACCACACATGTGTCTGTATTGTACACAAAAACTGTGACTTGTTTGGACAATTTAGATTGTAATGGATTTCTATTCCAATGAAAGAAATCATGTCTTACTTCAACAGTCACGTCCTGTTTTAAGTGAAAATCTTGTGAATTTTCTCAAGAACTTCAGAGTGTTACTATGAATGTTTCCTCATTTATAAGTGCTCAGTAAGCTAAAATTCTTAATTGTTGCAATACTCATCACTTTTTTTTGTCATTTCATGATTAAAGCCTCCGCTGGATTATGATTGGAAATCACATGCCATTGCCTCTATAGCAATAGGTAGTTGTCAATCGCTGGATTTTAAAAATGCAACTATTGAAAGGCTTGTGTTACTATACTCTATGAATAGTCTGCTACTTCTGTTCGAAAGTTAAAAATAAATGTCATGTTTCTGTACGAAAAGGTCCTTTCTTGAGTCAGCCCTCATGTTCCCAAATAAGTCCAAATCACCATCAAATATCAAATTAATAACGCACCATACTTGCACATCATGTTTCTGAATCCAACTAAGCACTAACAGGAGTTGACAGGATTTGGACACGAGACACTTCGAAATACATTTTTTACGGGGTGTATGTTTTTTCATCTCACTGAAAACGTCAAACACATATAAAATGTATTTTTATCAAAGTCCCTTGTTTCAAAATTTTGCGCCCACTCTCTACCTACCTCACGATTGGCGCCCATCAAACCACGGCCTGCTGGTTCCGTTCCGGTGAAGTTTACCTGTCATGCGCAGTGTTCTGTTTTCCTTTACGCCGAGTTGTGTTTTGGAAAATACATGGATGTGAAAACCTGTCAAACATTTCAACTACAGGATATCGTTGGAGAAAAATATGTGCCAATTCTCAATTCTGATGATTCTATTTGAGTGGTAGAAATATGTACCGTTGCTGTCTGCCAACTGCCGGCGGTGATTTATATTCTCTGTAAGCCTAAAGCTAAGTTGCTAACCAAACCTGAGTGGCGAAGTGGACTGCTGACTTTGGTGTCCTATTGCCGACAGCCAATTTTCCTCCGGTAGTGAAATGTGACAGCTTTAACTCAAGATTTTCTTTTTATCAAAAGTATTCGTCATGACGTCCATAGAATTCGACTTGGATTCCTCTGGAGGGTTGATGCCCGTAAGTGCTATGGTTATTTCAGTCGCCATGTTTGTAGTATAAAATGGCGACTAAAATTGCTCCAAAATGATGTTTCTGCATCATTTTATTTAAATTTGCCGGATCTGCTTGTCAGATTTTGAGCCAAATTTCTGAGAAAGCAAAATTCTTTTTCTCTCTAGAAAATCCAAGCGTTGATAGCACCACCTGAAAGTGATGAAACATCCAAACCTAACAAGAGAAAGGAAGGGTTAGACTTACACCCCTACTACAAAAGGCCTGGAAAAGGTCATAATCGTGATTGCTGTGATGCCTGCTGTGAAGGCGGTAACTTAATTTGCTGTGATAAGTGTCCTGCATCTTTTCACCTTGGCTGCCAGTAAGTAACTAGCTGTATATCACATTTTCTTGAGTGCTGAAAGCTACTGTGACGATTTGTATAATCAGCTGTATGTTAAGATAGATTTTCTATTTCCTGTTTCAAAGAATGCTTAAGGCTCATTTCTTTTTTTTATACTTGTGTGTTTATGAACTATTCTATTCCAGCGATCCACCTCTAGAAGATGAGGATATTCCACTTGGTCAATGGCTTTGTCACAAATGCAGAGTGACAGCTGGCCTCCCTCCTTTGAAAGAAGTATGAACAATTTGCTGTGAATATCTTACTCATTCATTTTGTAGAATTATCATGTTTTAATTCCTAACTTCATGTGTAGATCCTACAAAAGGCAAGAGAAGTTGCTTCTTCTGAGGCCACAGATGGACCTTCAAAAGAAGAAACAACAAGCGACACACCTATTAGAGGCCGATCTCGTACTTCAAGCACAGCTTCTCTGGAATCCAACAAATCTCGTGGCCGGGGGAGGACAGCAGTTACTGTCGCACAACCGGTTGGACCTGTTACACTTGCCACTGTTGCAGCTGGTCCAGATAACCACAGTGCATTAGAGACCCTTATAGCAGCAGCATCTTCTATGAATCCAACCCAGTTTGATTTACCTCGAGAAATGGTGCTTCCAATAAATTTCCCTGGCACAGATAGAGGTATTTTGATTCATTGTAATTTAGTTTGATTGCTCATATTATGTTAATCTAATCTAATTTTTATTTTAAATTACCTTAGCTCCAACTAGAGGGAAGAAAGCGTCTGCATCAAAGAGAAGCAGAACTCATGAACTAGATAATGGTCTAGTTCCTTTGCCTGCTAAAACATGTTTTGAGTGCCGAAAGTATGTACTCTTACACATATATTCACTCTGGCATGCTGCTGTATGCTATTTGTCTAGTTCGTGTTCATTCTCTTACTTATTTTCTTCTTTTGCAGGAGTTGCAAAAGAGCTCCTCTTTTAGCCTGTGATTATTGTCCACTTCTTTTTCATTTGGATTGTTTAGATCCCCCTTTAACATCACTTCCATGTGGCAGGTGGATGTGTCCTAATCATGTTGAGCAAGCTATTGTAAGTAAATATGGGTGTGGTTGCATTTACCTGTGTTTTCTTGATTTCTTTTAAAACTGAAATTTAATTTTCCCTCAAAACAGGATGAGAAACTTTTAACCTCACTCAGTGTGACTCAGAGAGTGGCTCTATGGGACAAGTACACAGCTCCTATTGACCATGATGCAGTCAAAACTGAATTTCTGCAGAAGACAAGACGTCTTAATCCTCCTTTCAGATTTAAAGTTAAACTTGCCCCTCGAAATAGAGCAAAGGTACCAAATTCTGTTAAGGAAATGTACAAAAACCGTCAACCACTCATTCCAACATTACGAGAAGTCCTGAGGGAAAACGATGTTGGGAGTCGGTGGTTTGATGGGAATACAAATAGTGAAAACAATTCAAATATTTTTGATCTGAAAGAAAGTTGTGTTAAATCTGATGGCGCTACAGAAACCGAACAGGAAGAGGTGTGGTTTTAAAATATTGAGATTTTCTTTAAGCTTATTTATCAGACTTGCCGGTAGAAATGTATTCAAATGTGATTAATTCTTCATTCTAATCCTATTTCAGTGGCTTAGTGGAATAGTTGCTTTGCAAACAAGTATAGCCTGTCATCTTGGCTCCAAAAGGCGGAAGAAATCACCTGCAGTAGATATGATTGACTCTCAAAACTCAATAAAGTCAGAGGTGGATGAAGGCCAAAGTTGGGAAGATGAGATTCAAAACCGAAACGTGTTAGAACACCCACCATCTGATGATGAGTCAAAGAAACCTCTATTAAATCCTTTTTGTAATGGGATGCAAGATCACCATAAGAATTCTTCTGCTGATATTGAGGATGTTGAAGTTTTGAAGCATAATAGAAGCATTGGTTATAATGGCTCTATTCAATTACCAGCCTCTCTTGCTTCCAAAGTTCAAAATGGAGATTCTGACACAATGGCTGAATTTGATGATGATTCTCAATCTAGTAGGAAGATGTAAGTTTATATTTTTCTATTCAAGTTTAACTATCTATCTGTGTGTGTGTGTGTGTATGCAATAACAAAACATTGATGTCTTTTAGTGATCCTTCAAGTTATGTGAGAGGTGAGGAGAAGAAACAGCTTAAGATGACTATTTTTGATCAAACTCAAGTCAAGGGACTAAGCAAGCACCTTGAGGACTCCTTAGACTCACTAGCACCTAGTAAGTACCCACATTACAAAAATAATAACTTAAATCACATTTTTTTCTATCAACTTCTCATTTTTGCAATTTTCTTCAGGTACTGATATTGATAAGCTAGACAGTCGTTTAATACGTCTTTTAGCATTTCAACGACTTCAACAGTTAACTCAAACCACAAGGTCCCTGCCAGATAGTCTTGTTTCTTCAAAATTTCCAACACCAGTCCAGAAACAAAATACATTTTGGCCCTCAGCAGATTCTGGCTTGAAACCAAGAGCCCTCTTAACTCCCCTGAATGGCTCTCAACCACCCATGCCAATTTACTACAGAGTCATGGAAATTGGTACCGGTGGTGATATGGATATTTGTCTCTCTTACTATGGGCATTGTAATTATGTGACAGCGAAACATGCTGTCATTATATGTGATGAGGTACATTTTTGTACTTATGAAGTTTTATGTGTACATATATTCTTTTATTTTTGTATTTTTTGTAACTTTCAATTTGGTTTTTAGGTGAACAGGCATTATGAACTAATGAATTACAGTGAACATGGTACAACAGTGGACAATGTGTTGTACTCATGTGATTTCTCTGAAAAGGTTCCTACTAAAGAACAGCATCTGAGTCCTACAACCACTGTGCAGCACCATGGTAGACGAAGTGGTGGAAACAGTGGTGCACCTAGTAGTGCAAGTTCCATTGCTGAACCCACTGACACAGAGGTAGAAGTGCCTCCGCTAATTCAAAAAATCAGAGCTGTTGTAGACAAAAGAAGAGGAGTTGTAAGGGAAGAGGATTGTCTCCCAGAGCCGTGCAAAATGCCAGCAGATATTGGCAAGGTGTGTTATTTCTTGATCAATGCACCTGTACTAAACATGTATATTAAAAATATTGTCTTTAAATATTTTAGTTGTTTTTTTTAGTTTTTTTTTTAAATTCTCAATTTTACTTTTCTATTACAGGAAGACATTAAATGCAGTTGCCGTTCTAGTAGTTCAAGCATGATTGGCGGCAGTGGTGCCGGCTGGGAAGGAACTGCGCTTCTTAATCATGGTTCATTCATTAAGTTTGGGTGCCTACAATTCACTTTTAGTGTTTTGAACTTTGTTTCACCACCACCACAGGATGCAAGTGGCCAAGAAAATACTTGCTCTGGTGGAGAAACTGATGGAAAAGGATCAATACCACACCGCATTCTGAAGAGAGAAAGGGATAGTACCAGCAGCTCAACACTGACAGTTTCCCCATCACCCCCTCCAGATAGGGCAGCCCTGGCAGCTAAACATGCTCTTTCTTCTAGAGAGTCCAGAAACCAAGGACAAGAATCAGATGACGACGATGATGATGATGACGATGATGACGATGACGATGATGACGATGACAATGACGAGGAAGAAGTTGTGAAAGACGAAGTAAATGAAGTTTCGGACAGAGATGAAATGGATGAAGATATGGAAGAAAACATGAATGGTAACAATGATGAAAGTGTTATTCAGGAATCTCCAGCAAAGCCGGATAATCAAGAAATATCTCAATCAAACTGTGTCGTAAATTTAATTGCAGACAAAGAAGCCAGTGCTACTTGAAGTTTTTGATCTGTTGTATTTTTTCTTCAAGTGTGAATGCATGATTTTGTTTCTGCTGTATTGTCCCCCGTGTTTAAATAGAAAAGTTGCCTGCTGGCAAAATTTATTTTGTACATTTGAACATAGAGAGGAATGTAAATAATCCTCTCTTAAAATGACGCTGCAGTCATTATGATGTGCCTATGTCCAGATGTCACTGCCAAATCAACTGTTTATAGTGTGTAGATACATTTTGATTATTCCTGGTGCAACTTACTCTATGGTTATAAAAAAAAATTGTGATATGCTGGTTATTTATACATGTGTTGTTGGAATCAATTACCTGTACCATATCAAACAAGAAAATTTGCTGAATTATTATTCTGCAATTTTGGGCTGGGCCCAAGGCTTGAAATTATAATACTTCTTTGGCATAAAATCATGGTTTGACTTGATTTAATCAAGTTTTCTTTTTCATACTGAGACTAGTAATCTGAAATTTTCAAGCATGCGGAAATGATAAAGTCAGTTAATTTTAGACAATAGTTTTCCTTGTGGTTTGTTACCTATACCTAAATTGAGCAGTTTGATGCTGCTGCTGGTAGTTAATAGTGTATGTGTACATACTTAATTATGTGGAGTATGGGATATTAGTGGTGTTATTCAGGCTGGCACCTACAAAAGTATGGTTGGTTCAAGTAAAGATATATTTTTGCGTCAAATTTATTTATGTATGTTTTATTTCATTAAAAGGATGTGTATAATAATTTAAGTATTTATGTTAAGTAGTTGCCCATATTTACTGATATTTAAATCTTTGTTTTTCTGACTGTCAGATCTTGATGTAAACCTGCCCAGCCCTCTTGGTTGTGACATAAACCCTGGATTACACATTGAGCAATGTCATTGGAGACAGTGCCACTATCCAAACCCATGATACTTGAAAATTAACTAGAAAGCCACTTTGTTTTTATTAGTCTTGTACAGCTTTCAAGACCTTGCAAGATGAATTCCTTTAATTTATTCCTTATGGTTTCTTCAACCATGCTGTTACAATTTTTGATTCAGTTTTGCTGCGATTCCTCATGTGGATTAATGCATTTGTTTTCCAGTAAGTTGTTACTTTTGAAGGAAGTCCTTCCTGAATGAAACTTAGTATTCTTGCCGGACTCTCTCTGATCAATGGTTTGAAAACTTTTTGTTTGTTACTTTCAATAAACTCTTAAGTTGTCTCACTGTTGATAACTAATCCAACAAATGTTATAAAAGTCTAAATGTTGTGACAACATTGCCTAACTGAAGTAAATGTTTGTGAAATTTTATGAAACAAGAAGACTGTTATTCATTCATTCCACACAACAAGCTTTGTTTCTTGCTCATTTTGATCTGAATGAGCTGGTACTGGCATTAATGTGTTCACTGGTAATTATTTGTATAACTAAAATATTCACACGACCTCCTTTCTAAAGATTTATACCTCTATCAAATATTTAAATCGCAGTGTTACTGTCCAAATAATGTAGTTGTTGCTTCTGAATATGTGATTAAAGCTGTGGTGTTTTATATGTTAATACAAATAATACTGTTAGGTATAAAAGCAATATGATCTATTTTTGTGCAAAGACACATCCTTCAGTGAACCACACTTCAGACTTTAAATCCACTCCATTTCCAGTGGAACCCAACACTCGTTTGCATTGCCGGGAAGTAGAGTGGTAACGAAAAAAGAATAGTTCTGAATTAAATCCATAACATTTAATAGAACAGAATTTACATGGCCATGGTTGTAAATATGCTTTGCCCCAGACATGTTGCAAATTTTAAACAATGCAAATGTTTCAAAGCATCTGTCAGATTGTGAAATGATCTGTAAATTAAGTGAATTATCATACAATTTGTCCTTTAAGCAGGTCCTTAAGCAGCTCACTGCATCATATGGACAGTCCACAAATTGAGCAAATAAAATTGAGCATATTTGTTAAGCCACATACCATTCTGACAAATGTTATCTGTTCAGTTACTTTTACTTTGATTACTCATCTACTCAAAGGAAATTCACTAATGAGTAAATTTTCAAAAATCACAGAGTTACAGATGGAATTCTAGCTGAAATTTACATACTGAGTGCAGTAAAACCATGATATAGTCATCACTTGGGTCAAATGATACAAAAACCATCCTGCATTCAACATATTAATGTCTAGTTTTAAAGTGGAAAACTCACTTGAAATATGCTCAATGCCAAAAGCACACATGTAATATCAATGTATAAGTATAGTCCTCCTCCAAGGAACTCAACACAGTCTACTGGTATATATGCTTTAAATACTATACAATTAACAGAAAAATGACAATAGACAACAAACTACATGCATCAAACATAGCTCATAAATCCTAAGAAATAACGCAATGTAAGACATTACTGATCTTATCACTGGTTTGCTTGCGAATCACATACAGATATATATGTATGCATATATACAATAACAATAAAAATGCATTCCAAAATCTTCAACAGACATAATATATAACTCTGCTTTGAAGCCGACCAAGACTTCACACCTCACTGGCCTCAAAGAAGACTGCAAAATGTTAAAGTTGAAGTTTCTATAAATAGAGCAGGTGTTGATGTCAAAATAAGAAACATATTAAATAGAACTTAAAGTCTTTAGGCATGACACAAATACAAATGAAATGGTATGATAAATCTAACTAAATCAGTGTTTTAAAACACTGAGGTAGGATGAGGAACCAATGACAAATAGCTTATCGATGGCATTGCAATGTTCTGGATTGTTTTCATGCAGCACAATAGTATCTTAACGCAAAATCGCTAAAGAATGCTACTGCTCTTGGGAAACGGTACGGAAAAAACACGCATTTTTTAAAGCCTTAAATTTATCGGAAAGAATGCATGATTTATACTACATTTTCTATACTGAGCGTAATACCATTTTCTTATATATAACCGAATACTAGATGTACACAAAACGACTAGTTTAGGTCTACCCCTGCTCTGTGCAGGCAGCCCAAGGACGACATTTGATGGCCACTTCAAATACATCTGCTATATTCATGAATATATAGAATATTCAAGTGAATTGCCTTTTAAAATAAATATCACAAAAGAATATGAGTCTTATAACTTGAGGTGACTCAAACAAAGAAAAGAATAACACTCAAATATAAAACATATAAACATTGGCAAAGATAATTCTCCTGAGAGTTACTCTTCATAGGGTTATTCTAATCACAACTTAAATTGTATGATATTTACAAAAATCATCAAATTCATATATTAAACCAATTTTAATTCTGAACAAACCAATAATACCTATGGCCACTTGGAGTATTTATTTGTTAAATTTTGTCTGTTTAACAATACGATTCCAAAAATTTGCCTTTCTTTAGCAAATCAAGCCATCTTACAGAGAAGAAAAAAGAAAATGAGAGATGATGAGTTGGTGTACACAGAGCTACAGAAAGCCAAAATGATGATCAAACACTGGGTCAGAAATAAAATGATAGAATGTGCGTATTCTGACACTGTAAATTCCCTGGATTATTATAAACCCAAAATAATGAATAGTACAGGAGGGCACAGATATCATTCATTATAAGGATGCGGAAATGCATTGATATGCTTTTGGGGAAAATAATTATTTTAACACTTTCCGTGCAGTGGGTTCTCCATGGTGAGTCCTAAAAATGTCCCATTAGTGCCTGAAGTCTATTTTTTCATAGGCCTCTGATAAAAATCAAGACTTTGGAGTTTTAGTGTGAGGCACGCCTCTGAGGGGGGACAACAACATAAAAATGTCCCGCACGAAAAGTGTTAAAAGAAGCCTTGATTGTTTTAAAAGTTTTAGGATGTCACGATGGAATATTCACAGAATAAGTTTACGGCCTTCTCAGCCAAACCGACCGCGGGGACAAGATGTTCACAGTTCATGTTCATAAGTAACATATCACGCAAAATCAATTAAAAGGTTGGACAGCAGCACGAGACAGGCAGGCGTATAGGTGGGAGGCAGTATTAAAGTCTTGGGCAGGTGGATTCACGCCATGGCGTCCAGCTGGACGCCGGGGTCCTTCTTCTCGCCCTTGTTGGCGGCCGCCTTGGCCTCGCGGAGGGAGCGCGCGACGCGGCGCCGGGCGAGCTGCAGGGCCCACACGGCCGTGTGCACGGCCACCACGAAGCTCAGCCCGAGGACGCACACCACCGTGGTGCGCGTCGGCCGCTCCCAGTCCAGCACCGGGTACACGCACGTCCGGTCCATCCTGCAACACGCTCGTGCTCGTGAGGAAGGGTAAGGCTCCCAGGGTCAGCCCCGGGGACCTTGAAGTAGAGCTCCACTCACCTGTCTGTGCCGCCTGCCAGGAAGTACACGAGGCTGAAGCTGAGGTACACGAACACGAAGAGGAGCGGCCAGAAGGCGTGCAGCAGGCGCAGCGGGTGCGCCGACATGAGGACGTCGACGAGCATGAGCGCCGAGTTGGCGGCGTGCACCAGGATGTTGAGCGCGTCCAGCACGTGTTCACCTGCGGGGGAAGTACAGATGCTCGGGGTCAGGACCTCTGTGAGGAGGGGGAAGGGGAGGGGGAGGCAGGTAAAGAGACGCGGGGTCATCTCAACTCACTGGGGTCGTAGACGGCCACCCAATAGGTGCAGGTGATGCCAATGGCCACGGTGATGGAGATGGTGTTGAGCACCCAGTACAGGCGGTGCAGCAGGGGTAGTGATGGCGCCTGCAGCACCGCCCCGGGGCTCCCGAGGCCCCCCTGACCGCTCGGAGCCGCATCGCGCTCCGCTGTAGAACAAACACAAAACATTAGGGGTGCTCTGCCAATATCGGCGAAATGTGACTGACTGTACATTCGAGTCGACGGTGACTCCACCCAGCAAAGGGTGGAGGACGGCAGCAGCGTTGCGGTGGGTGAGGAAAGCATGTGTCCAGTTCCAGTAGAGTCTACACAGGATGGCCCACAGACTGCCGACCACAATTTAGTTTATACCGTACAGCATGAAGCGGGCGCGTCGCCAACTCGCAAGGGGACGAAAGGGATCGCCCAGAGACTACGTCGGTCATTCGCCGTTACGAAACTGTTCAGTTCAGTCTCCGCAACCTCTTTAGCGCCTGACGGGTAGGCAATATCTTGTATGCTGCGCATGCGTGTACCGCGGGGTGGCCTACTCTGAGTCTCGCAGGCGCCGAGCTCCCGTTACTTGCCCAATGAAGCGGGAGGAAAACGGACGCACTTTCTGGATGATCCCTCAGACACCGTTGGGAGAGACGGAAGGCAATAACCCCGAATCGCACGGCCGCAAGCGGTACAGTATGACTACGAAATATTCCGGGTGTCGGTGGACCCGGCCACCCTGTTGTAGGACTCTAGGGCCCAGGTGCGCATGTTGCAGGTGGAAGGCGCCCATTCGCGGCGCGCCCTCAGAACCGCTAAACCCGATTAACGAGGCTCTGCACCCCGATTTGATGGGAACCACCGTTACCGACGTTCGGTTCGGGATCCTCCGGCCTGCCTTTCACAAAACAGTCGCTAAATAAAGGGCATTTATGGCGGAGAGGGGAACGGGCAGAAGAAGGTGGGGGTGGAGGGTGGAGGGTGGAGGGCTGGAGGGCTTGCGCGGGCCGACAATGTGCCGCTGACACGGGTAAGGGGTCGATGGGAGGGGTAAGGGGGGGGGGGGGGGAAGTCAGGTGATCGGGGGGGAGCAGGGCAAGGACGGCACGGCGGACAGGGAAGGGAAGGGAAGGGTGGCCGACGGGGGCGTCCTGGCGGTGGCCCTCCCGGGCACCACGCAGCACCGCGCTGCAGGGCTCGACGAGCGCGCGCGCGCAACTATTAATAATACGCGTGCGAATAATGTATCGACAAGACTCGCCGGGGGGTAATTGTGTGTCGATGAAGGCTCTGGCGCTGTGCCACGTCAGTGCGGGAGGGGCATTTTATACGTATAATTATGCGACCACAAAGAAAATTAACTTTTTTAAAAAAATATTAGAAATCACACCCGTTTTATCACGTACCACGATATGACGATCAGGACACGTGCAGCTGGTGAGTCTGTGAAGATCAAACACGAAGCAGTGCGTAGTGTCATGCACTCTACTATGGATTTCCTGCTGCACGTGCACCATTAAGGTGTGCGAATGTTTGAGTTAGTTGAAGGTTTCTCAAGCAACACACACACACACACGCGCGCGCACTGGCGGCATCACACACCACCGCCGTGCAACGCAACACCCCAGCAAAGGTGTTGACGAGTGTCACACTTACTGCACCGCGGCGCCAGGGGGTGGTACAGCGTCCGAGGCAGCCTGCCACCTGTGTAGCGACCAACACCAAAAAGCAGCCCTCGTCACCACCATGCGGGTCCACCCACGGGTGCGCGCGAGCACCCGTGGGTGCACCCGGGGGTGAGCTGCTCGCGTCCACCAAAGCGAGGCGAGGCCGGCGGCGCGGGACAGATATGAGGCACCCAAAAACCGCGAGGAAGTGTGTAGAAATCACGACGCAGAGTCCAGAGTCGGGCATTTGGTTCGGAAACTACAAAATACACTAAAACCAGATACCCGAGCCGAGCAGCTAAAAGCGACTACATTGCCGTAGTACAATTTTACTTAGACGAACAACAACTCGATACGAAGTATATAAATGCAAGAGCGGGGGGTATCAACTGGATGTCCATTACAGTGAATGAGAGATGCTGTGCGGCGGATACCGACCTCTGCGCTGTCGCCTCTCCTGGACGAAGTTGGCGGTGGCGAGCCCGGCGCCGAGCGCGGCCTGGAGGCAGCAGCACGCCAGCCCCCAGTTGGTCAAGTAGATGGGCCACTTGACGTAGCGCACGCCCAGGTCCTGACCCTCGCGGCCCGCGTCCAGCACCGAGCACACGGCCACGGCCACGAACAGCCCCGCGGACAGCCAGCGGTACACCACGTACCACAGCGCGGGCGGCTGGCGCGGGTCCTGCCACTGCGGACCACACCATTGGGATAGGTCAGTATGAAAGTCACGAGGACTAAAAATAATATGAATAGTCCCAGGATAAAAACCACAAGACTAAACTATACCAGAGTGCGCGGGGTTCGGTTCACCAGCTACCTGGTGTAATCCTTACCTCAGTCTGTGTAAACTTCTGCGGCGTGTGGTAGTCTGCCCTGAGGAGGTCGAGCCGCAGCTCCCGCCTCCACAGCTCCTTGATCATCCTGCAAACACAGACAAAACAAAATGCAACTTTAGAACTCCGTCCATCGACGCGGCGAAAATCTCACTTTAAACACTCGCACAAAGAGCAATTCTCACCCTCGTCTGCTGCTGTTTTTTTTAGAGAGGGGGAGAGGGCGGGACAACGGAGAAGAAGAAGGGGGAGGGATTTGCTGTCAAACCACCTATCGTTTACGAGTTAGCGTCAGATTATTTTTTTATTTTTTTTGAAGAAAAAGAGAAATCTGTTTTTGTTCAATGTGTGCGTGACTGTACCGAGCCACGCGCCCGCTTATTGGATAATAGGGGTGGGCCGAGGAGGGGCGTGGCGTGGCGGGGCGTGGCGGGGCGTAGCGGGGCGGGGCGGGGGTGATGTGACATTCATTCAACATTTACAGAGACCCGTCACCGCGCCGCCCCCCTTTGAGAGCGCGCCACGCGCGTCACCTGACATATTGCGCGGATGCAATTAATGACCCCCTATTGCTCCACTTGCTCGCACTACTTGACTTGACCGGCAGCGCCGTGGCCGCGCGCCTGCAGGGGACCTCCTCCTCCTTCTCATTGCCCTCTCTCGACGGTCGGCCGCTGACGCGGAGGAGAAAGAAGGGGGGGGGGGAGGTCCCCGCCGGCGTGTCGGTGCGTCCGCGACGCACTGCATCGACAGCGCCGCCGCCGCTCGCTGCAGGAAGCGGCCACTTACACGACGTTCACGACGTTCACGCGGACACGCTGCTGGGCCACCGGCGGAGTGGCCGGGCCGCTGCAGCAGCATCCGAGATTGGTGGCCCCCGCACAGTGGCCGTGAACCCGAGGAGGGGACCCCAAGGGGGGCACCCCGGGGCCCCCCGCGCGCCCGCAGGCCAAAGGAGGAGCCCAATAATGGGCAGTGTCACGCCCTGAAGCGCTCCTTTGTGCAGCCCAGGCGCATCCTCCTCTCTACTTATCACTGCTGCAGCACCCCGGACCGGACCCCCGGTAGCGCGATGCTCTCCCACACTCGCGGCCTTTTGTAGGAGAGCGCCGAGCAGCGCGCACCAGGGACCCCTCTCTCCACTCCCTCTGTGCGGGGTGCTGCGAAGTCACCCTGCTGGTGCTGCGGAATCACCCTTCTATGGTGCTGCGGATTCACCTACTATTGTCCTGCGGAATAACCCTGCTGGTGCTCACCGACACCGTTTCTATCACCCCCTGCGGGTCACGCCGTGCCCCCCTCCCCTCCGCTCCCCTCCTCGGCCCTCAGCCCTCGGCCCTACTATACTCCTCGGCGCGGACATTTCAGTATTCCGCCTGCATAGTTAACCACGCAAGGGAAGGGCCCAATCGATGCGGCTCGCTGGCTGCGCCGCGCGTCGCCAGCTCCTCCCTGGTTGGCCGAGGCCCCGGTGGCCTCATGGATCGCCCGAGGCGCGTCTCCGGTGAGTATTGGCCGGGGCCGCCGGCGCGCGGCTCCAGGGGGGAACCCGCACCACAACACAGCGGCGGCGGCGTGGCGCGGCGCGGCGGACCGTCTGCGGCCCGAGCAGCCCGCTGTTACAGCAGCCGCAGCGGCAGCAGCAGCAGCAGCAGCAGCAGCGAAAGTGGGATGAGGTGGCGGTGCGTCTGGAGTCTGGACCGACCGAGCCTTTGCGGCCCGGCCGCGCGTCGGCGTGCGTTAGCCAGACAACAAGCATTTTGTAGGTGATTTCTCCCTCGGAACACACATGCCACGAGGATGGAGTTGCTCCTTTAAAAAAAGGGCCAACCAAATACAAACCATTTGTACCGGCGTCAGGTCGCAGATAGGACCGCCCAGTACACGGAATAGTCCGTACTTTGCAGTCAGGTCTGGCCTTACTGGACGCCCCCCCCCCCCTCAATCCCACCTACTGAGCGCCCCACTTCTCCGTCGATTTGTAGGTCATACAATTCGCGGATCCACCGCCTCTTTGGCCAGGTGACGCGTCCTCTCTCACGCTGGGATTCCCAAACTCCCCTCGCCTCCCGCTCCGCTCGGGCCCGGGCCGCACGCTCCTCAACTTGCATTCAAGTTCCTCTCCGTTCCGGTTCCCTCTCTCGCCTTTCCGCGGCCCAGATAAACAAACTTCCTGCGTCCGGCCGGCATCCACGGTCCAGGTTCTTCCCGCTCTCTGACGCAAATAATCCACGAGTGTGGGCAATTATTTTTCGCCCCAGTTATTTATATAAATCAAAATCATGTTTAGAGACGCTTGAAAAATATACACGGAGTTTGTGGCAGGGAATCGTCACGAAGACTCGTTGCCTCAGAGCGACGCTGGCAGGGCTCGGCGGCTGGCAGCGCGGCACGACTCGCGTGCGACACCAAAGCGCCGCTTCTGTTATTATCGTCACGGCTGGAGAAATGACAGTCGTCTTGATTAGCATTACCATCATATCACGATTACACACAAAGCCACCGAGTGAGTGGCGGGAAGGGGGCAAGAGCCCCTGCCGCGCTCCGGTGTAGGCCGTCCCGTCAAGACAGCCGTCTCGAGCGGACGGCCTACCCCGCGCCGCGCCCTGCAGGCACGAGCCCCTGCCGCGCTCCAGAGGAGGCCGGCCCGTCAGACAGCCGCGTCGTGCGGCCGGCCTACCGCGCGCCGCGCCCTGCAGGCACGAGCCCCTGCCGCGCTCCAGTGTAGGCCGTCCCGTCAGACAGCCGTGTCGAGCGGACGGCCTACCCTGAGCCCCACCGGCGGCGGCACGAGCCCTGGGGGCCCGGGCGACACTGAGAATAATTAATGCGGGTGACTAAATGATAACAATTACGAATATATCAGAATATCAGCCACCAGCTGGGGTGTTGTGCTGGAGGTCGTGTTATAACTGCCTTCACCTTTCCTTCTGGTAAAGACGCCCACACGGAACGGAGGGACTTCTGTCGAGGAGGAGAAAGAAACAGAAAAGTACGTCGAGTAGCGGGTCCGTGGCCGCGGTGACCTAGAGAATATAGCGGCGGCGGATTTTACATATTTCCACACTCCTGGCCGTCTCCCTCGTGCAGCGCGGAGACCAGCAGGTGACTCTAGTGGAAATGAGGAGGGGGGGGGCGAAGGCACGAGCATATCCTGCGCAGGGGCGGGGTCTGGGGCTGGGGAGTGGGTAAGACCACCGCGCCGCACAGGTCACCAGCAGCACCACCGCCCCAAACGAGCGGCATCGACCAGAGGGTATCGGAGGGAGGTGTGACTCGACGTGCCTCCCTCTGTTGCCCTATTACAGACACCTTTAAAAACATGCAAACGTCGAGTGACTTTTTAATTTGGCTCCAGGACAAATAAGTGGCACATTTGGCCTGCTCATTGTAAGTCGTCGGATGCGATAAGTCGAGATAAGCATTTATACCACCGCCCTTTCACTTAGCCGTTTGGGACGGACAACTCGTTCGCTCGTGACGACGGAGCACTCGCTATACATACAATAGTCACGCTTACCCCCCCCCCCCCGTTCACGCGGACACGCTCCCCCCCCCCCCCCCCCCAACAATGGTCCTGTTGGAGGGGGATTCGAAGGAAGGCCGGGGGGGAGGGGGTCTGCCGGACTGTACTACAACACAATCGGTGGAAGGGGTAGAGGGGGGGGGAGGGGGGGGAGGGACACGCTATGACTCTATCATTATCGCTGTTGGGATCGTCTAAACCGAAAGCAGCGGCGACTGCCGGTTGCCCCCCCCCCCCCCCCCCAGGCCCGGGCGACACGGCCACGCACGCGGCGCTTGCGGTGGCATAGAGTACAAGCGGTGTAGACCGGCCGCCGCGGTTTGTACGTCTATTTGCGTGACAGGCGGGCACTGCGTGACGGACGGGACCCAACGTACGCACTGTTGGGCCTGTGCCGCCCTCCCCCCCCCCGCTTAATTCGTTGGTATCATGATCCCCCCCCCCTCTTCTCCCACTTTTCCGCACCCTCTCCTACTCCACCTCTTCGTGGTCGTCACCGTGCACCCAAAGAAGAAGGGGGTGGGGGAGGCCGGGAGGCCGTCGTACACGATGCCGGTAGGCCTAGGCCTTCACCGGCACCAGGCTCGTCAGAAACACCGTTCGCTATTCTTTTCCTCATCCCTGCCCACCCCTTCCCTTTCCGAATGTGATCGTTCACAACCCTCTCTCCCCACCCCCCAACCTCACGTCAAGACCCTTCCTGATACACATTCCTCGACCTCCCCAGCCCCGACCCCCCTCCCGTGCACCGTCATTGGGGGCATGACCCTTCGACCAGGACCTCCGTGGGGGTGGCGGACGGACGGGGCGGTTGTATTTGTGTCCTCGTTTTGTTTCCTCGTTATGCCGTTTTTGCATTTCCCTTGCTGATTGATTTTCGACCGATCGTCGCGCTGCGTTGTCTTGCGTGGCCTCCACCCCTCCACCCCTCCACCCTCCCCTCCCGGCCGGCAGGGTCCGCCCCCTCCGTCTGCTGTCCACCTCAGCTGGACTGGGACTGCGGTAGTAGTGGGAGGGGGGCCTCCCTCGACTTGACCCCCCGTGACTCACAAAAGTGTCACTGATTCGCCGGAAGAAGAGAAGCGGGACGACGTCACCGTCCGCGTCAACTCCGCCCAACCTTCCGGCCCACACCGTGTTTGACAAACAGCACGCTCGCCCGCATGCGTTGAACGGACAGGTCACGATCGCAAAATGTTATTGACGAATATGGAAACAGTCGAAAATCAAGTTGAAAATCGAGTCAAAATTTCATGTGGAAAAGAGAACTTGTCAGTTTGACTGAAACATGAACTATTCGGGTCGGGTCTTTGAAACGGTTCCAATGTGGCATGACTCCGGTGTGGTCCATGTGCAGTAATTGTTACAAAATTATCGGCAGAAAGAAACGTACACGATTCTCCGCATGCATGGCACTCAGGCCCCTATGTCAATTTTTTTTTCGTTTCGCTGTAGCCTGAGACGTTAAAGAGAAAATAAGTTGCGAACAGTACTGAGTGTAATATGACGAACGACCGGATCCCGTTGTCGCTGAGGTGTGTCGCCCACCGGCGGGGCGCGGC